GGTGGGTGGGTGCGGTGGATCAGGGAAACGCTTGCGCAAATTGTTTAATGGATACACAGAGGGGGTTGGGTAGGCGAATGCCTATCGATTCTGCAGTGGTCAGCATCCGATAGCGAACCTGCCTTGATAATCGTTCACGAATTTTATACAGGCTGTGGAAAGCTTCGGCCATGTTCACAGTATGATTTGTTCCAGCTAGATGAGAAACCAATGCACTGGTTAGTGACCTAATCGTTCCGGTTTGCAGCTACGCAGGCGGTCACATGATGAAATTGTTTCTAATAATGCGTGAGGTGGTTATGTAATATGATGCGATTTTATAATCCCTTAACAATTATTTTCCCAAGAACTGATATAAAATGTATCCGTATGAATACGAATATCTGAAAACGAGCTTGTTCATCACTCTGTTGTTTTGTTTGAAATGTGCTCTCTGTGGGACCATTTCAACAGAGAAAACTGTTCAAATTTTCCATTCAACTGTGATTCAAAATGTAAAAACTTCAAGTTTCGGTGCATTAATTTGAAAGGTTTGATGAAAATAGAAGATCAATCAACGAGTGAATTTTTCACTGCGATTTAAGCAGCGCCATTGCTGACAATGGGTGGTGGCGGTATAGATCGGGGCATATTCTTTCGTAATTGATGTATTTGAACCTCGCCGTGGCCGGGGCCGTGACCGTTGCCGCTGCCGCCGACACCACCGCCAACAACAACAATCACAAAAACAGTACTCTATTTTCGGTTTAGTGATCCTCCAGGGACAGCATATGATGGGAGTAGATCACCTTCTTGAATACTAAACGCAAACCACTTACGTAGAAAATGGGCGAGAGTGAATAGATTATAATGCACTGGTATTTTCTTTTTGGAAAAGGGAACGAAATACGCGTCGTGATAAACATCAGGACATTATTGCAGTCCACCATCTACTGGTCAAAATTGCATGTTAGGATCACCTGTGCGCCAGCATGATTTACTGCCTCAATATTGCTCGCACACACGCACGCACCGCACAGGAGACATCATTGGCAACGCTACAACACCTGGCAATTNAATTGACGGCGACACACAGTAGAAGAGGAAGTCCAATGAACTATCTGTGATCTCCAGCTGTTTTCATCATCCCACACCTGTATTCATGCCACAGTTCTTAAACATGTGATGTATCGCTCGATTGATAGCTTCCATCTTCTATGGTGACCGAATTTATTACGAGCGGCGTATGTCGGCCTCAAGCAAGATGCACAATACATCTGACTGTTCACCGGACAGGCACACATCCTGTTTTTCATAAAGGCCTTCTGAACGGGTGGTATATCGTTTGCAATTCTTCGACTTAGAATGATTTTCCGAATTAGCTTTCCAAAATGGTTGCCACTGAGCGCTGTTTGCTGAGGCAGGAATTGACTGAAAGAAAGTCAAAGTTGATCAGAATACGGCCTGACACGAGTGTATGACAACCCTAACCACAGGACTTGGTCACACAGGTCCCGTTAGACTCCCTGGATGGAGACCTCGAGGTCATTGTAATCAATGATTAGAGACACTGAGTAATACGGCTAAGTGTCGTAAACGGTAGCGTTCGTTTATCTTTGTCCACTGAAATTCTCCAGGTTCTATTCGAATCTAGATTTAACTTTCCTGTCTTTCTCCTACTGCTTCATCAAAATAGGCGGTCAAAGTACAGCGACCGCTTTGTATGGTTAATGGATGACGAACTGAAACTGAACTTTACGACGATTGTTGCATAACTGGTCCATTTCTCTTCTATCTGACGTTTAAAGAGAGATTGAGAATGAACATAATTCTACTTGGCAAAGTGCTGAAAGTTCTACGTGAAAAAGAAAATCATTTTGAGTCCCGACTACGAGGTGCCAGTCAAAAGTCAGTATGTAGTCCGTTGGTCTCATCTACCAATCAATAATTATCCTAGGCGGACCTGCAACCTTCGAACCAGTATAATCTGACATGTGATAGAGTCAAGCGGGACAAACGTAGTGGGACTGAACAACCATAAAACTATGTGAAGCGTCTTGTTTTGTCTCTTTAACTGCACATCAGCACCAGCACCACATCATTTTCGTTGATGTACTCACTGCACGTCAGCAAGTTCGTGCACAAGAGGAGTAATGATAACACTCGAAGTATTCAACGAGGCATTGTAAAAGTTATCAGTAATACAGATGACATTGTGGTGGAATTTTATCTTAGAATCAATGATTAATTAATTAATTAATTAACTTTTTACTTCCTTTTGTATTCGTTGAGCATATAAGCCAATGTTCATTGACTTATCAGGAGTGTGGGGGGGGTGACTATATAAAGGCTGTTACAGAGGATTCATTATTCTGGCCCATTTGATAACGCCAGA